GGAAGAGACTGATGGTAGCGTACCAGGGAAAGTGGTGGGAACCGGGGTTGAATTCTGGCTCTGGAGAATCCGTCCACGCCAAACAAGCACTTGTAGCCACTAACGTAGCGGTGCTCACTGTTCGATATGTCCAACAGAAAAGAGAGACAAAGCATCACGACGTCAGGGAGATTCTTATTAGCCAATCCCATGTAAAAAGGGGGACACGTTTTCTTTTTCTTTGGGTGATTTGCATCTTCTCGCATATTCGAAGTGCACCCCATGAGTTTCCAAGGACCACTTAGCGGTCGTTCATGCGATTTTTAGTTTCCATTTCGAACAAGAGGATTATTAAAAAAAAGCGAGCAGATTGAAGAAACAAACTACTTGTACTCACTTCAGTAGATAGGTGAAATTTCTGTTCTGATATTCTTCAATGGAAATGTCCTCCTCCTTCGAGTATCTGACATTGAGCAAAACGTGCGTCCAGATACAAGCGCAAGAATTCAGATGTAAAACAATGGAAGCTCACTAACGGTGTAAGCAAAGTTAACAAAAATCAGAACGACGCACAGCATCAATCTTTGTGCAATGTGAGAATAGAACTAGCGTTAATCAACTGATGGGGTGATGATTTCTACATTGTTCTCCGGTGGCACTTAGTCCATACAGATACAGTGGGACAGATACACTAGCAATTCTTGTGTTATGTGCAGGGATATAGGATTAGGTAACACTCAAATAGATATGGAGTATTATTCAAATATGCAGGTGAGTTATGTAGAAAGGGACAAGATTAGAGTTAGAGACCAGATTGGTATCGTTTAAGTTACTATATTTAAAGGGTCATATGTAACTTCTTGTCTGTGTACGGCACTTTATGTGCCACATAGTTAGAACATGATTATAAACTCTTCTCGAAAGAAGAACATGATTATAACTGGAGTCCAGCTAGGATCCAGCCAGATGCCAAGAATGTACATAAAGGACTATTGGCACAAAGCATCAGAGCATACAAGGTAATATAGCACATGATGTAGTATATATGGTGGCACTCATAAGTATATACTTTGCTAAAAGAAGTGAAAGAGTAGTTGGTAAAAGAGAACCATTTTTATGTCAACCAGGGAATAGCAAAGAGAGATGCATTATTCAACATTCCACAATAAATTTTGTGCTTTTGTAGGTAGTAACGTACCTCCAAGGGTATTCATTTTCGCAGAAACGAGAAACCCCACTCATCGCGGTTAAGACATCAATGTGGACCATTTTTTCCTTCATAGAAGAATCTGGCAGAAGAGAAACACGAAGTTGAGTAGAAACTGGTGTCAATAAAGGTCACCAATTGTCAATGCACCCATGCTAAAATAGTACACAATATTAGATAGCTGCTCCTTTTGTCATTTGGTGCTTGTGATTCAGAGTAAAGTACAGGTAATCTATGTTTGTAGTTTCTGCATATATAACAGAATGGTGACAGAACATATATTATAAAAGAATTTGGTAGAGCTCACCTGCTACATGTAGAGCCTTTAGAGCATGCCCACCAGGATAATTGCTGTAGGAGGCCATGAAACTCACAGCAGAGTATCCAAGGCTAAAAGATTTATATGTTAGTTTTCAGTAATATATACTCCCTCCGTCCCATAATATAAGAGAGTTTTTAAAACTAGTGTAGTGTCAAAAACGCTCTTATATTATGGGATGGAGGGAGTACTATGTTGCTTCAAATGTCAACATGTTACAATCATTAGTCTACCTGACAAGAAAGGCACCAAGCATGAGAACATAAAGGAAATTCCAACCACTTTTCTTTCTGTTATTATATCTGAAAAAAATTGGAAGAAAAACATAAAATGACCACAAAAACACAAAACCAAGAATATAAGAAGGAACGACATAATATGAAGGATGACAAAAGGCAGGTATACAAAGGAAGCAATCGTTGCTATCATGCATTTGTCACACTGCTAAGGATGGCCATAGTGGGAGTAACTTAGCTAGTAACGTAATACACCCCAAGGCAAGTTTGCTTATGTGGCAGGTAGTTAATGAGGAGAGATGTGTTGGTAACATAATACGTTACCATCACATAGCACTTCCCAAGACAACATGAGTCTACAAGCTAATAAATACAACCACCTATGACACTACCTCTATGATATTCCCCAGTCCCCACTATGAAGATAGTAACATAGACTAGTGTCATGCATGACACTAGTGTAAGTTTACTCCCCCACTATGACTAGCCTAAGACTGTAGGAAGTAGATAACATAGTAGAATGGTTATGCTCACAATCTGCTTGCGGCCAGAGAAGCAGACACATTAAGCATGGGAACTGCAGCAATTATGAAACGAAGCTCCTGAAATATAAACAGAGGCGATTACATGCAAGATTAGCTTAATGTTCTACAGACATAAAAATAAAAATAGATCCAGACATTAAGAATTACCTTATGTGGAAGTTTCGAATAGAGTACAACAAATAAAGTGACTGGAAGAACGTATGGCACTATCCTCCTATCAAGAAGAGCACCAACCTGGTATCAAAAAGGAAGGCCCGACGAGATAAATTGCCTATTTTTTAGCATCACTATAATAACAATAATGCCTTAGCTACTCACTCAAAAAACTTACATCACATGAAAATCATTAGCTGATTCAAATAAATGGTATACTTTACACATAAAAGTCCATGTAGAAGTGGCAAGTTAATTAACTTTTTTAGAGGTAACAAGTTAATTAACTATGACAATGTTGGTCTAACTGGAATTTAATTGTTATACATACTACTGTACAAACATGATGAAATGGACACAAAATAAACCAGTCGGTCAAATGTATTTTTTGTAGCCAAGCTATCTTACCAAGCAAAGAGGATAGGCTACAAGCATGGAGCGTGGAAGTGCTGAGGTGAAGTACCAATGGATCGAATGTGTCTGAGTAATATAATAGTTATGGAGAACAGAGGTAGGTCTTTCACAAATCACAACAGTGTTATTTGGATATTACAGAGGTCCTCCTATTCGAATCAAGAAACAAGAGGATAACTCTTGAAATCCAACAAATATGTGTATGCTTCCTCCTTTTGTGCACATGCATACATAGGTAAAATGGAAGGTTCTGTGCACATCCAAAGTTTCCACAAAGTTAACGAAAAAGGACAACAAACTTGAATAACTGAGAGGGAAAGAAAGGCATTTCTGGTTCATAAGACAAAAAAGGATGGTATGTCCCAAAGTGCACTGCAAAGTATTAGCGAACATTACTGTATAGAGACATTCTCAACATTTTTTTTCTATCAAAAAATAAACTGCAGTTTCACAAAAACAAAGCATAAAGGATACACCCCATTCTGAACTTCGGTTCAGAACTGAATTAAACCAGAAAACTTCAAATTCTGGCCACAGGATTCTCTGCCACATTATCGAGTCAACTAGTACCGTGAAACCTGAAAGAGGTTATCCAAAGGGAGTCAAGGTTTCATACACAACATTCACGTAAAAATTAGTGTCAAAACTCAGCGCAGTATAGAGAACCATACCAATGCATAAAAGAGCAGTGCTTATGCAACATTTTACGGCTTCCATTAGAGAAAAAGACCTGCTCTGTCATGGCATTGTCAAATTCAAATCTTAGTGTACCTCAGTCCGCAGCTCTAACTTCACAAACAATTAGTGTATAGCAATAATATGTACATTATCCAAATGCAAATAAATAAATAAGAGCAAGACTATGAAAGGTTATTATAGCTTTCAAAGAGTATGTTTCATAGTAGTCTATTGCGCCACACCTCAAACCTCACATGTTATCATCCTTGACACAAGTTTAACTAATTCACTACAGAAGCACAAAAGTTGATGTGATAAAACATCAACTGAACTGAACCTTGCAGCAATATGTCTGCATGAGATAAGTTACTTGGAACTCAAGTCAAACAAGCAATCAAGTAGTGCATAGTTTAAAAACTGGCACTGCACAAAACTAGTACTCCCTCCGTCCCAAAATTCTTGTCTTAAATTTGTCTAGATAAGGATGTATCTAATACTAAAACGTGACTTGATTCATCCGTATTTAGTCAAATCTAAGACAAGAATTTTGGGACGGAGGGAGTATAACAGAAAGAGATAAAATTGGCATGCAAGTGTTCAAAGGAAATAGAGTCTGATAAGCCAGACACTCACCAGCAAAAGTGCAACCCCTATCGTACCAAGAAGTAGAATCATATCACATCTAAAAACAACAGCTGCAATAATCTGCATGTAAAATGGAAAATTACACACAGTTTGATAGAAGTGCAACATATGCTGCTGGTCTTGAAGTGGAGAAATAATTTTATTTAGTAATATAACAGCAGGTTTTATTGAACCCAGAGTAAGAACTAAGAATTACTATATCACAATGTCCAGAAGTCCGTTCACTGTACTTAATATTTTCATGCACAGTAGGTAAATTTCGAGATGTCATTGTATATGATTAAGTGGTAATGAACAATTTATTCCTGTAATCTGTAAATAAATGTTAAAACAGTGCATAGATAACAACGAATGAAGCTAAGGTGATGGCGCCAAAGAAGGCATACCAGTGCCTGTAATGTGCATAGGTAATTTCCCTTGAACCAGAAAGAGTATGCCAAGTTGACTGCATGACAGAGAGCACATATGAGTTATGAATACTACAATCTCCTAAGTAGATAAATGGTATTGTGATATTAAGAAACAGTAACAGTAGTGTGCCCACCTAAAGCTAATGCTAAGATATTTGGAAGAGGCCGGGTTGAGTAGAACAAAGCATGAAACTGGATAGCAGTTAGTAACACAAAGAATGCTTCAACATGGCGACCAAACTTTCTTTTGACCTGCTTGTCAGAAACAAATCAAGTAAATCATGATATTGCCAAGGTCAGGGCAATAGCTCATGCTCATTGTTATACAACAGAAATCCAATGGAGAGTTACTCGAGATGGACACAGAACAGTCGAGGAAAAGAAATACAGGCCAAAGAGACATCGTGGATACAATGATTCATGACGTTACTTAGCACTTTGAAGTTTCTGCAGAAATCTCGGACGGCAACTAAGTTCTGTTTTGTATGGTTGAAAGAAACTTACTCTGTGAAATTTGAGCTGGTTCAGAAGTACAGTTTGAAAATCTATCTGCTCAAACCAAGCAAGAAAAGCTAGGATTTCAATCAAAACCAGCATACTGAGGACATATGCTCAATTTACAAAAAGAGAATCATGCACTTTAGGTATTCTTCCACTAAAGTGAGTCGTTAAATTTGGACCATGGTATTAACTATTAAGTATCTACTGCAGTGTCAAATCCAAATTTGACAAGTGGTTATGAGGTCTGCCATATTGCCGGCAGCCTAAGTCTCGCCATGCTCATGGAAAAGATCTAGATCCAATGCTGGCTGCAGAGTCCCAGGACTAAGAATATTTTCCTTGCCCACTATGTCAAGGCTTAAGGAGTTAAAAGGTAAGTTCAGAAAGAAAAGTTTGATTAGGAAAGGACAAAACGAATTAGTAGATCGATTCAATCTTTAATTGTAACCACTTTGGTGGCTCGAATATAATTGCAACCATTTTATACACCCAAAGAACCAAGATTCTCTTCCCCATTTATATCATCTCCATGCTTTCTCGCAACACCATAAGCAAAAATCATTTTCCAATTTTGGTTCCTTTCCCGGTGAGTTGGCTTGACAGTTCAAAGGAAAACATATTGACGGATTAATTGTTATTCACTTTCAGGGGCACCAATGGTAAATGTGAACATCGACCAAAAAACTCAAATTGATGAAATTCAGTGGGACAGAAGGAGAAATGAAAAGAGAAAATACCTCAACTCGGAAAAGTCTCAAAGTCGTCAGGTTGACACAGCCCAATACTAATCGAACTATAAGGCAAACAGAAAAAACATCAGTCTGTCAAATCTATGTTAACTAGTAAGTCATAACCAAACAACATAAACTTGAAGCATGTTTTAAGCTCATGATAAATTGATAATTACCTGCTAGAAGACTATAAATCTTTGGAAATTGAAATACACGCATTATGAGAACCGCAGGCAATGAGAGAATAGCTATTACCAATGCTCCTGAAAAACAGACAGCACATCATATTAATGTATCGTGCTTCTTTGTCGACACAAGTATAAACGGTAAATCGTGTTTACTCGTTTACTTCTATCTAGGCTTGATCAATTACTTCTCAGTTCTCACGGGCTAGGCTTGAACCAGGCATCAGTTGGTTGTTTATAAGGATACTGCATCATGCTGTGCAAATCAAGGATTTCATGGCCGCTTGATTATTACCTATAAATGTCCGAGGAACAACGCCAGGAAACTCCAAATGGTCATACTGCAGCAAATTGGAGAGAAACAAAATATTACATAAATTGACAAACAAACATCTAAATGTAATTAACTAACAACATCATTTAGAAAAGGGAAACTGGAGGGAAATTAGCAGCTAAAGTTACCTTGTCGATGTGATGATTGTGGTACAGAATATCATGCATGGCCTAGAGAATAAATGACTCAACCGTTAGCTGAAGCAGTTGGAACTACTGACAGTACAAGTGCAAGCATAAGAAATACAGTTAATTAAAACTTAACCAATTGAACGGAGAAATCCAAGACTTAACTAATATCAAAATTGATATTGAGAAAGGAAAGCTCGTTCGATTTCACTGTATGATGAAAATTACTGAATGAAACGGATTCTGAACAGCAAAATGCCTGCAAATTAACTACCACGCCTAAGGGGAAAGTTGTCCAGATATAAACTCATAGGCATTCCTACATACAGGAGCGTAGATGAAACCCAAATTATCATGAGGAAACACCCTTCACATCATGTAAATTGCACATCTGACACTACAAGCTGGGCAGTTTGAACTATTCAAGCAGAGGGGAAGCACAAACACGAACCTGCACATTGAAGCTCTCCTCCACCTTGGTGTAAGGCACCATGACGGCGTAGAACGCGGCGATCGATCCCAGCATCAGGTCCCACCCTGCAAGCGAGCTCCCGACGCATCAGATCCCCAAAGTCCTCCACAGCAGCAGAACCCTAAGTTCTAGAAGCTTCGCGAGCCAGAAAGCAAGCAAGGGACGGAGAGCGCCGAAGCGAAGCGACTCACCGTACTCCCTCAGTAGCCTCGCCGCCGGCGTAGGGCCGGGCGGCGGTGGAGCCATCTCGGTGGCCGGCGAGTGGGTTCGTGCCTTTGGTGTTCCGGTCGAGCCAAGCCGCTTCGCCGGTCCGGGACTTCGGGTTAATTTTTTTAGGAAAGGTTAATCTTTTTCTTTGAGTATAAGAGGATTTCGGGCTAATTAGTGGCTGTGGCTGGTAAAATGCGAACGGCCCAGTAAACGCGAACGGCCCAGGAAAGTCATGGCACTGGGCTGGTATAGTTTTGATTTTAAATAACGAGGGCAGCAGATCGCCCACGCAGGGGCAATGTGGACCGGTCCAATAACTCGCTCGCAAACCGGCTGTCGAAAAATAATGGGGTCGATTTTTTCGTATTAAAACAAATATAAAAAAGCAATGAAAAATCATGAAATTTAACAAAGTTCATGGTTTAAAACAAATCTTGATTTTTTAGAAAATGTTCATGTATTTTAAAAGTGTTAAAATCCATGTATTTTTAAAATGTATGCGTATTTTGAAAAAAATCATGTATTTTAGAATGTTCGCATATTTTTCAAAATGCATGTAGTAAAAATGTTTGTTTCTATAAAAAATGAAGACAAAAAGAAAAGGATAGTAGAAGCAGCAGGTTGGGATGCAAACACTATGAGAAAAGGTTGGCCCACAAAGCACAGTTGTGAATGAGAAAAAGGTGTTACGAATACATGGACACGAGAACGAAAAAATCCAAATAATTTCTAGAAAATTTATTCATTTCAAGTATATTGTTAAATCATCTTAACTCATGACACCATTACCAGAATCCCAAGGACACCATTGCCAGAAGAACTGATGTAGCATTGGGAACATGAGATCTTTTTGTTATGAAAAAAGATTTTATTGCAGACTCGACGAGTTGTTCGCTTCAGAAACCATGCAAGTAACAAAAATCATAGCAAGAAAATTGTTTTTTCTGGGGTTTAAAAGGAAAGGGGCGGCCTGAAGGAAATATGCCCTAGAGGCAATAATAAAGTTATTATTTATTTCCTTATATCATGATAAATGTTTATTATTCATGCTAGAATTGTATTAACAGGAAACATAATACATGTGTGAATACATAGACAAACAAAGTGTCACTAGTATGCCTCTACTTGACTAGCTCATTAATTGAAGATGGTTATGTTTCCTAACCATGAACAAAAGAGTTGTTATTTGATTAACGGGATCACATTATTAGAAGAATGATGTATTTGACATGACCCATTCTATTAGCTTAGCACCCGATCGTTTAGTATGTTGCTATTGCTTTCTTCATGACTTATACATGTTTCTATGATTATGAGATTATGCAACTCCCGTTTGCCGGAGAAACACTTTGTGTGCTACCAAACGTCACAACGTAACTGGGTGATTATAAAGGAGCTCTACAGGTGTCTCCAAAGGTAAATGTTGGGTTGGCGTATTTCGAGATTAGGATTTGTCACTTCGATTGTCGGAGAGGTATCTCTGGGCCCTCTTGGTAATGCACATCACATAAACCTTGCAAGCATTACAACTAATGAGTTAGTTGCGAGATGATGTATTACGAAACGAGTAAAGAGACTTGCCGGTAACGAGATTAAACTAGGCATTGAAATACCGACGATCGAATCTCGGGCAAGTAACATACCGATGACAAATGGAACAACGTATGTTGTTATGCGGTCTGACCGATAAAGATCTTCGTAGAATATGTGGGAGCCAATATGAGCATCTAGGTTCCGCTATTGGTTATTGACCGGAGACATATCTCGGTCATGTCTACATTGTTCTCGAACCCGTAGGGTCCGCACGCTTAAGGTTTCGATGACAGTTATATTATGAGTTTATGAGTTTTGATGTACCGAAGTTAGTTCGGAGTCTCGGATGTGATCACGGACATGACGAGGAGTCTCGAAATGGTCGAGACATAAAGATTGATATATTGGACGGCTATCTTCGGACACCGAAAGTGTTCCGGATGATTTCGGAGAAAATTGGAGTGCCGGAGGGTTACCGGAACCCCCCCCCCCCTCGGGAGAAGTATGGGCCTTATGGGCCATAGTGGAGAGAGAGGGGGCGGCCAGGGTGGGCCGCGCGCCCCCTCCTCCTCTGGTCTGAATTGGACTAGGAGAGGGGGGGCGGCGCCCCCTTTCCTTCTCCCTCTCCCCCTTCCTTTCCCCCTCCTAGTAGGAGTAGGAAAGAGGGGAGTCCTACTCCTACTAGGAGAAGGACTCCTCCTCCTTGGCGCGCCCTAGGGCCGGCCGGCCTCCTCCCCTTGCTCCTTTATATACGGGGGCAGGAGGCACCCCTAGACACACAAGTTGATCCACGTGATCGTTTTCTTAGCCGTGTGCGGTGCCCCCTTCCACCATACTCCTCGATAATACTGTAGCGGTGCTTAGGCGAAGCCCTGCAATGGTAGAACATCAAGATCGTCACCACGCCGTCGTGCTGACAGAACTCTTCCCCGACACTTTGCTGGATCGGAGTCTGGGGATCGTCATCGAGCTGAACGTGTGCTAAAACTCGGAGGTGCCGTAGTTTCGGTGCTTGATCGGTCGGGCCGTGAAGACGTACGACTACATCAACCGCGTTGTCATAACGCTTCCGCTGTCGGTCTACGAGGGTACGTAGATCACACTCTCCCCTCTCGTTGCTATGCATCACCATGATCTTGCATGTGCGTAGGAATTTTTTTGAAATTACTACGTTCCCCAATAGTGGCATCCGAGCATAGGTTTTATGTGTTGATGTTATTTGCACGAGTAGAACACAAGTGAGTTGTGGGCGATATAAGTCATACTGCTTACCAGCATGTCATACTTTGGTTCGACGGTATTGTTGGATGAAGCGGCCCGGACCGACATTACGCGTACGCTTACGCGAGACTGGTTCTCCCGACGTGCTTTGCACACATGTGGCTGGCGGGTGTCAGTTTCTCTAACTTTAGTTGAACCGAGTGTGGCTACGCCCGGTCCTTGCGAAGGTTAAAATAGCACCAACTTGACAAACTATCATTGTGGTTTTGATGCGTAGGTAGGATTGGTTCTTGGTAAGCCCATAGCAGCCACGTAAAACTTGCAACAACAAAGTAGAAGATGTCTAACTTGTTTTTGCAGGGCATGTTGTGATGTGATATGGTCAAGACATGATGCTAAATTTATTGTATGAGATGATCATGTTTTGTAACCGAGTTATCGGCAACTGGCAGGAGCCATATGGTTGTCGCTTTATTGTATGCAATGCAATTGTGCTGTAATGCTTTACTTTATCACTAAGCGGTAGCGATAGTCGTGGAAGCATAAGATTGGCGAGACGACAACGATGCTACGATGATGATCAAGGTGTCGCGCCGGTGACAATGGTGATCATGACGGTGCTTCGAAGATGGAGATCACAAGCACAAGATGATAATGGCCATATCATATCACTTATATTGATTGCATATGATGTTTATCTTTTATGCATCTTATCTTGCTTTGTTTGACGGTAGCATTTTAAGATGATCTCTCACTAAATTATCAAGAAGTGTTCTTCCTGAGTATGCATCGTTGCGAAAGTTCTTCGTGCTGAGACACCACGTGATGATCGGGTGTGATAGGCTCTACGTTCAAATCCAACGAGTGCAAAACAGTTGCACACGCAGAATACTCAGGTTATACTTGACGAGCCAAGCATATACAGATATGGCCTCGGAACACGGAGACCAAAAGGTCGAGCGTGAATCATATAGTAGATATGATCAACATAGTGATGTTCACCATTGAAACTACTCCATCTCACGTGATGATCGGACATGGTTTAGTTGATTTGGATCACGTGATCACTTAGAGGATTAGAGGGATGTCTATCTAAGTGGGAGTTCTTAAGTAATATGATTAATTGAACTTTAATTTATCATGAACTTAGTCCTGGTAGTATTAGCATATCTATGTTGTAGATCAATAGCTCGCGTTGTTGCTTTCATATGTTTATTTTGATATGTTCCTAGAGAAAATTGTGTTGAAAGATGTTAGTAGCAATGATGCGGATTGGATCCGTGATCTGAGGTTTATCCTCATTGTTGCACAGAAGAATTATGTCCATGATGCACCGCTAGGTGACAGACGTATTGCAGGAGCAGATGTAGACATTATGAACGTTTGGCTAGCTTAATATAATGACTACTTGATAGTTTAGTGCACCATGCTTAATGGCTTAGAATCGGGACTTCAAAGACGTTTTGAACGTCATGGACCATATGAGATGTTCCAGGAGTTGAAGTTTATATTTCAAGTAAATACCCGAGTTGAGAGATATGAAGTCTCCAACAGGTTCTATAGCTAAAAGATGGAGGAGAATCGCTCAACTAGTGAGCATGTGCTTAGATTGTCTAGGTACTACAATTGCTTGAATCAAGTGGGAGTTAATCTTCCAGATAAAATAGTGATTGACAGAATTCTCTAGTCACCATCACCAAATTAGTAGAACTTCGTGATGAACTATGATATGCAAGAGATAACGGAAACGATTCCCAAGCTCTTCGTAATACTGAAATTGACGAAGGTAGAAATCGAGAAAAACATCAAGTGTTGATGGTAGACAAGACCACTAGTTTCAAGAAAAGGGCAGAGGGAAGAAGGGGAACTTCAAGAAGAACAGCAAGCAAGTTGCTGCTCAAGTGAAGAAGCCCAAGTCTGGTCCTAAGCCTGAAACTAAGTGCTTCTACTGCAAAGGGACTGGTCACTGGAAGCGGAACTGCCCTAAGTATTTGGCAGATAAGAAGGATGGCAAAGTGAACAAAGGTATATTTGATATACAGATTATTGATGTGTATTTTACTAGTGTTCGTAGCAACCCCTCGGTATTTGATACTGGTTCAGTTGCTAAGAATAGTAACTCGAAACGGGAGTTGCAGAATGAACAGAGACTAGTTAAGGGTGAAGTGACGATGTGTATTGGAAATGGTTCCAAGATTGATATGATCATCATCGCACACTCCCTATACTTTCGGGATTAGTGTTAAACCTAAAATAAATGTTATTTAGTGTTTGCGTTGAGC